AAGAGTGGTTTATGTACATGAACACTGACTTTCCCATTTGTGTTCTACCGCAAGCCTCTGAGATCCTCATTTGAGAAACAAGAAAGGCGAAGCCAAGGAGAGGTTGACTCGAAACCCAGCAGCGGTGGAGAACTGATTTACCTTGACTTGTTTTAGATCTGTGGGATGTCTGATTTTTTTTTCTTTTTTTTTGTAATTGGCCCGCCAGACTGGAAATGCTTTCTGTCTTTTTCATCAAAAATCTTGGACTCCCTCCCTAGAGGTCTTCTCTGTCCGGCATTTTTGTTTTTCTCTCTTTAACTTTGGTTCTTATGTTCCACGTGTAAGCATAGTTCAACTAGAAAGGAAAAAGCCACTCTAGAAAAAAGACTCTAATTGTGAGACCAGATGGTAAGCATTATTCAGCAGATGGGGTTGTGTAGGTTTCAGGGAAGGTGCGGTAATATGATCGTGTTCCGCAGCTGTGACCTGTGGTTCCCAAACAGCTTCCTTCCCCCCTGCCCTTTGCGTCTGCATTCCAGCATCTCTCCTTCTATCTTTGTAGGCACAGGGCTCCCTCCGGCCCCAGATTGATTTGACAGATGTATAAGAAAGGAATGAAGCTTGCTCAAGGAACAGTGACTTCTGCTATTTATCCCAACGCACAGATATATTTTCAATATTGTCCTCCCCATGTTACTTGTAACATTGGCAAGTCATGCGGAATGTAACCACTCTTGCTCAGCACACTGAGAGGCAGGGCTCAGATTGCTAGGAGCCTGTCAGGATGTCTTTGAGTCATCTCCATCTGAAGTCATGCAGGCACCGCAAGCTAAGGAGATGTAAAACTGAGGGCATCGCCTGCCTTCTTCTCCCTTCCCCCAAGAAAACCCCAGCCAACACTTCCTCCTGTGTTTCTTCCTTCAGTGGAAGGTAGCACCACTCTTCCTGCGCCCAAATGGAAAACCTAGGCGTCATTCTGGACTCTTGTATCTTCCTCATCCGTTCCAGGTAGTCCATCTCCTAAACGCTTTTCCAATCCTTTCATGCCTCTCTCCTCCCATCGCCACTGCCTCTGTTCAGGCTCTTATTATTTCATCTCTGGAATTTGGAAATATCTGATGCTTGTGCCTTCATCCAGATCATTTTCCTCTTCCCTTCCCTTACAGTGTTGTACGTTAAATGAGACTCTGGCCAGTGAGGGCACTGAAATTAAAATCTCATGGGAGGAAGGGTCGATGAAGATCGTGATTTCTTAAAAGCTCTGTAGGCTTTTGCAGTGTGTGGCTGGGGCTGAGAATCAGTGCTGGACTGGAGCAGTTTCAGACGTCTTAGCAAGGCTGTGTGCAAAGTCTCCACGACCTTGAACATCTCCTCTGCCACTTCTGCTTCTGACTTTACAATAAGTAACCACAAACGGCTTGTGTTTCCTCTCTCCTGCTGTTGCATGCCATTCCTTGCTTTTATGCGTTGGTCTTTGGGGATTCATCCATCGGAAATGTTCTGGAAATATACAAACGACCTAAAGGACCGTCCCTACCGAGTGCCGCATTATTTTATTCATCATTTTGATAGGTATTGAGTTGACCCATGAGAAACTCCAAAAGTGATTTGGGGCTTCTGTCCTGCTCTGTGTTCCTCTCTTTTCCTTTGTGTGATCCTGCTCGCGTCCAACGGCAAGCCCTAGAAATCTCTCATAATTAGGGTGGTATCATCTCAGAGCGTTTTGAAATGCCAGGTCATCATGGTCCACGTGGTGCTCTGGAGGGTATCTGCGCTGGTCCTGTGCTACACCAGCTCGCACGAATCCACCTTGGCAGCAGGTGGTGTAGTCGGGTGGGTGTGCAGTTTGTAGAGGCTTTTATGTGTCGTGTCTCAATTTGATCCTCACCACACCCTGTGGAGTTTGAAGGAGCTGTTACTTCTCTACTTTACAGATGTGGAGATGGGTTTCCTTTACTCTTATTCACCCGCCTTACAGGTGTGGACTTGAGTCTTTACAGATTAGGTGTTGATTATCTGTCCACAGGTGACAGATTGAGGGTCCACAATGCACGTCTCAAGTTCTGTGACCCAACTGGATTATAGTTGGTGCCTTTTTTACTAAAGGGGCTTGGGTGTAGTGTTTGTTTTTAGAAGCTTGGTGACAAATCCGTAGCTTGAGCAAACTTGACCTCATAATATTCAGTCACTCTTTTTGAGATGGAATTTCCCAGGGCCCAGTTTCCCCTTACATAGTCCACTTTTCATCTCTCGGTCAGCTTGATCCTTAGCACTTCTGTGAAAGACAAGGGACACGAAAAGAAGGGAAGGCTCTGTAGTTTTGGGTTTAGATGTTGATTTTTGAGCCCCATGCTTTGAGGCCCTTAAATTACTCAGTCAAGTCTTGAAGTTCCAAACACAGAGTGTTGTGACTGGGTGGCTGGGCCTAATTCTGGTACTGAAAACGGCTCCTTTTTAGTGAAGAAGAAAGGAGAGGACTCGGAGTTCCTCAGTGAAGCATCCATGTGCGTGTACATTAGCTCCTGCATCAGGCCACGGTGTCCCCGCTTCCTGTCTCTAATCTCGTGAGGCTCTTTGCATTTTTGGTAAAGCCCCCTTTGGGCTAATTCCTGAGACCCTGGCTTTTATTGCGAAGATCTTGTTCTTTGTGAATTTAAAAATCAGAAGAAATTATAAACAACAAACGACTGTATCGGAACTCTGGCACTTTTGAACAGAGTCCCGCGGCCTGAGCAAATCCTGGGGAGTAAGGATGTTCCCTTCTGCGGCCTGGAAGGAGAAAAAGGTCATTTCCTTTAAAATAAATCTACTGACATGCATGTTGCTGGTATCTAATCAAGCTCTGAATTTGAGTTCAATTAGAGCTTTGATAAAAGGAAGGGGAAAGGGAACTTGAAAGAATGCTCTCCCATTCATGAAGGGCCTGCATGTTTTTAGTTTCCAAGTAAATGGAATAATGGGACCATGTATTTTCCATCCCAGCATTTTCCACCCTGAGAATAATTCCCTTCCTGGCTTCTCAATGAATAATGCATTATTTCTGAAACTCAAGAGGCATTCCTTTGATTTGTCTTTATGTTTAGCTTTCTGAGTGATTTTCAAGCAAGGAAATTCAAGGCCTTGGAATGAATGCTTTATTAACATTTTTTTTTTTTTTACTTGAAGTTCAAATAGCTCCTTGGCTATTATCTCCTGATATTTGAAATATTTTTTCCCCTCTCTCTCTAAGGAAAGTCTAAGGTATTGTATTTATTAGAAAATGAAGCACCTTGGCCAGTCTTCAAAGTGAACAGCAGTTGAAAACCAATACACATTTGTATTTAGAACAAAGAGCTTTGTGGGGGTACCCTGCTCCATTCTTTATTTTCATTTCCCTGCTGAAAAGGTTTGGAAAAGAAAGCTCACATTCAAAACCAGGCTGCTTGGAGACTCAATCACATTTTGTGGAACTCATTCCTTGAGGCTAGTCCCAATTCATGACCCCAATCCCAGCCTGCATCCACTTAGACCAGTGAATCAGAAGATTCAGATGCCCTTCTGGGTTCATCCCTGTTCCCTGTAGGCTCGCTATGTAGCCTATTTATACATCAGGGGCCCAGAAAGTGAGATGTAATAGGACGTGACCGTGCTACTGGTTCATGTTCTCTTAGCCAAGGACCCCCCAGCTCATCCCGGGGTAACACGGTGGTAGATTTTAATGCTTTTTCACAACCTTTTTCCCTGGGAGCCTAATGAGTGATTTCAGGAGGTAAATAAGTAAGTTGGGATTGAGACTATAATCTCTATTTCCTTCCTTTGTAATTATAGTGAAATCTTAATGGTTCAGTGTAGTTGGGGAAGAAAGAGAATCTAAACAGGAAAACATCTAAATCAAAAAATTTTGGTTTAAAATATTTCATTTTGTTAATATAAGAAGTGGGGACTATAACATAGTGTTTTCTGGAACATGGACTCTGGAGTCAGCCTTAAAGAGCAGAAACTCCAGGGTTTGTCTCCTGTCTGCCACTTTCCAGTACCCCGGCTTTGAGCAAGTTATTTAACTTCTCTGGGTCTCAGTTTCTTTATCTGTGTGATGGGATAATAGTTTCTATCGCATATGGCTATGGTGCAGATTAAATTAATTAATATTTGTAAAGCCTGTAGAAAAACACCATTTAAGTGATAGTGGACTGAAAATAAAAGTAAATATACATCTTATCATTGGAAATTGCTATTCCCAAATACAGGCCTATGTATACTGAGTGATTGCTTTCTTAGCACTCATTGACTCCTACGACAAACCAAATGAGGTAAATGTAATCATTTCTATTTTTCAGATGAGGAAACTGACGTAAAGAAAGTAATTTGCCAGAGTTCACCCAGTTTATTAAATAGCAAAGCAAGGATTTGAGCCCAATCAACCTGAATCCAGAAACTGTGCCTTAACTAAATGTTAAAGAGCATTTGTCAGTGCTTATGCCTGAAAACAATTTTATGTTATTAAAATACCATATTTTTATAAGCATCAAAGTGTGTATATCCTGAATGCAAGATGTCTCAAATTTATATATCAGTTGCTTAGCACACTCTGTTTTGCTCAAATTAATCATCATCAATGCCTCATAAATACTCAATTTTAGTAAGATCTGAAGTAATGAGATTTTATTAAATTGGTTTTTTTTTAACTGAAGTATAGTTAATTTATAATGTTGTATTAATTTCTGGTGTATAGCATAGTGATTCAGTTATACATATTCATATACAGGTATATATTCCTTGTCATAATCTTTTTCATTATAGGTTATTACAAGGTATTGAATATAGTTCAGATTGATTTTTTTATTATCCAAACCTTTTCTGATTATTTAGGATAGTGAACATTTCATTTCAAATAAAGATCTGGTGGCTTTGAAGCTCTGTGTTTTTATCTTGAACTGAAATCATTTCACCATATGGTTGCTCGCTTCATCATTCACATTTTTTTGTTCTCTCTTTTTTTTAAACCTCCCTGATCCTGCTCCCTCTCCCTGACCTCCCAGGTGCCTTTATCATATGCTGGACTCCTGGACTAGTCTTGTTACTTCTCGACGTGTGCTGTCCCCAGTGTGACGTCCTGGCCTATGAGAAGTTTTTCCTCCTGCTTGCCGAGTTCAACTCCGCCATGAACCCCATCATCTACTCCTACCGCGACAAGGAGATGAGCGCCACCTTCAGGCAGATCCTCTGCTGTCAGCGCAGCGAGAACACCAGCGGCCCCACTGAAGGCTCGGACCGCTCGGCTTCCTCCCTCAACCACACCATCTTGGCCGGAGTCCACAACAATGACCACTCCATGGTGTAGAAACGAAGCTACGATGAGAAGCAGCCGCCATCCATTGAAGATCGAGCAGGCTTCCCCGTACCCAAAGGCCAGAGCCAGGTGGGGTGTGAGAGAGAGAGGAAAAGTACACTCACGTACTTAAAACACTAACCAACGGCAGTATTTCTTCCTAGACCCAACAAGACTTGATATATATTGAAAATTAGCTTATGTGACGGCCCTCCTCCTGATCCCCATTCCTTTTGAAAGTAGAAAGTGGAGGTCTCGCGATGAGATTCATAAACAAGACTCTGGAGTGTCCATTTACAGTACACTAACTAGTCTTCGGGAGATTTTGTGTGGTTTGGTGCAAGTCGGAATAAATTCTGACTCGTTGAATCCACAACTTCATTTACATACAGGCTTCCCTTTTTTTTATTTTTAAAGGATACATTTCATTTAATAAACGTGTTTATGCCTATCAGCATGCTTGTGATGGATAAGACTATAGACTGTTTTTAAGCTATCATAACTCCATTTTTTCCTTATGTAGGAAAACTGTAAATTAGAATGACTTTTTTAGAAAGCATGCATGTAATGTATGTATGCAGTATGCCTTACTCAGAAAGATGAAAGGTACTCATTTTAAATCTTCTAGGAAATAGGAAAACCTGATGTCAAAGCCAGTATTTGTTTAGGTTATGAAACAAGCAATGATCTAATCACAATGATACCTTTTTTATTCAAGTGTTTAACATGTATGAAACAAACAGGAAATGTAAGTTTATTTTTGGAAGAATGTGTACTCCATAAAAGTTATGGAAGGTGAACACAGTGGTATTGTTCCCACATATTTATAATACCCAAGTCCATTCTAATTGTCAGTTCATCAGAGGGATTTTTTTAATAACCTGTGTTTTTCTGTATTATAATACATAGTCATTTTAGAAAACTTGAAAAATGCAGAAATGTGTAAAACAGCCCAGAAGTAACCACCATTAACAGCATTACCCCTGTGTATGCCTATATGTATATTATATACCTTTTTATATAATTGGGATCATACTGTAAATGATTTTATAACCAGTTTGTTTTTTCCACTGCAGAATTGCCACATTTTTCCTATGGCATTAAAAATTTTACAAAAAAACATAATTTTAATGGCTATATAATATTCCATTTAATGGATGCATCTCAGTTTAACCATTCCCATACTGTTGACTACTTAGGTTATATCTAATTTTCACTGTTATAAATAATGTTGCAAAACTTGTATGTACATAAAACTTTGTCCATATAATTGATTACTTACTTAGGACACATTCCCATGAAGGATTTTTTTTTTAAATGTGAAGTGTCTTTTTATACTTCTACCTTTTATGAAAGAGGATTTCCTGCTTTTGCACTGCATGTGTGGCAATTGTGAGGAAAGCCAGTTAATTTACCTTTTTACAAAGGAAACGCAGTGGTTACTTTAGAGGAGAGTGACTTTTGTATAACGAGAAACAGTCAACTGTCACAAATAGCCAGGACACCCTAATTAATATGTCTAGCAATTTCAAGTTTCATTTGAGAGATGGATTGTCCAGCTCTTGGTAGGCAGAGCTGTAATGTAGAATTGAAGAAAACACAAAGAAATCAAACATGCCAAGTGAATAAAAGATCATCTTCATATTACATAGCTTGGGACCCTTCTGTAGCAAATGGATTGAATGTATCAGTATGCAACTGGATATTGTGAATTCTCTAGGGTCACCCCCATGGATGCCGCCACATTGGGAGATACCTGTTTAATTGGCCAGGTCAACTAGTCATTGCACCAGTTTGTTGTAATAAGTAGCCAGTAATGTCACCGTCATGAAGCAGGTGTGGGAAAGTCAGGAGTACGTTTAAGAGAGAGATGTCCAGAAGAATGGTTATTTAGGAAGGAGGAAGTCAGTGCATGGTCACCATTTAAATGGAGGGCAGATGCAGCAAGTGCCCAAAGTGAAAAGAATCTGGGGGACCAGTTAGCAGAAAGTTGTTTGCACAGACTTTATACAAAATACAGAGCATTTTACAGTGGACGTGAAAGAAATGATCTTGGACTTTATGTGCATTTATTCTTAAGGTGATGTGGACTATTTGAAATTAAAAACTTACTAATTGGACCTTAATAAATCATTCTCAATCAGTGTTTGGTAATGTGTGGTTCTGGTCAGGGCTGTTTCTCTGCTTGAAGAGTCTTCCTTCCAACTTGCACGGTGTGATGTCTGGCTTCTGTGACCTCTTTTCTGTCCCTGCCACAGGGGCTTCTGAACTCTTGCGGTGAAGCCACCATATGCTTCCCCAGCTCAGAACTGCTTTTTTTTCACCCTGAGTGAGAAGTCTTTATAGCTTCTAAGACATGGTGGTTTATCTTGCATGAAAGGAGAGAACAGCTTAGGACAGTGCTTCAGCAGTATAACTCTTTGAGTTTCATTGGGAAAAACTAATTTTATTAAAACTTCAATATTGACTTTATGAGAAACCTTCACTAGGATTTTATAAAGTTATAGTGGTCTTTATGTTTTTAAAGTCAAGAACTAACAATTTGAAAGTGATAAGTGTGTCTTCCAGTTATTTGCTAATTGTATTCTTTTCAATGTACTACTAAGATGTTGGGAAAAATAATAATGCTTATTTAAATGAATGTCTCGAGTATTTGGAATAGAATTCTGAGCTTTTAAATTTAGGTAGTTGTAAGATTGTTAGAAATCAAACATCTCAGTACTTTCCTTCACAAATTAACCAGGCCTCACATCTTTTTTTTTTTTTTAAGTGAAACCATAATCTCTCAGACTCAAAACCTCAGCTAACCTTATACAATTAGTGAGTCTTACTGGGTTTCCCATTCTTTTTCCCAATTAGCTATTGCTTTAGGTTCCAGAGTTAATTATCTTTCTAATTTATTTCATTAGTCTCTTAACTTCTGAAATGGAATTTTGTGATACTGTCTCCAGTGGTTTTTTTTTTTTTCTTAAACCCAGAGTATGACTTGTGCTAGATAAAAACTGGGGAAACACTTCTTTATCAGGCCCCTTCATTGTACCAAGGCAGGCAGGACTTTTTTAATGTCAAGACCTTTTGAAACAAATTGCTTATTACTATTTTTTTAAACACAAGTGAGCTTCACCTGATCCCAAACTCTCAGAAGGCTTGGGGTTGGTTTGTACATTGGGATGGGCTTGGATTTAGGCACCGCCTGGCAGAAGAAATGTGTATAACTTGGAGCCAGAATGGGTCATCAGTCTTCCAAAGCAGGGACCATTCAGTTTGTAACATTCGTCTGTATTTTATACAGTCTGCACATAAAATTCTCTGATTCTTCCATTAATAGTGCTCATGGTCACAGGTTACTTACTGCTAATCTGTCTGATGATATGACAGATAAAGACTGTTTACAAATCTAAAGCAGAGGTTGGCAAACTAAGAGCCATTGGCCAGATTTGCCTGTTTTTGTATGATTTGTGAGCTAAGAATGCGTTTTATTACATTTTTAAGTGGGCAAAAAAGGGAGTGTTGTGAAACATGAAAAGTGCATGAAATTCAAATTTCAGTGTCCATACATAACGTTTCATTGGAACATAGTCACACTCACTAGGTTATGTATTGTTTATGGCTGTTTTTGTACTGCCAACAGCAGAGTTGCAACAGAGACTGTCCCTCAGAGTCTAATATATTTTTCTGACCCTTTCGAGGAAAAGTGTGCCAACCCCTGATTTAGAGAACTGCATTTTCAATCATTGCTGTGCTCACTGCATGTGTGTTCACTGGAAGAGGAAGGAGAAATTGGGCACACCATGATCCTTTGAGTGCTAGACCGCAGAGAAAATTATCAATTGCTTTTTTAAATAATAAACAATTTTCACTTTGAAATAGTCTCAAACTCACAGAAAAGTTTGCCCAATTTACAGAACATTTTTTCCCGAACCATTTGTAAGTTGCTAACATGATGAATAGCATGTATTCACCGTCCTTGAATACTACGTAATCCCTTCGGACAATACAACTATCAATATCAGAAAACTAACAATGATACAAACACTACCATTTAGTTCACAGACCCCATTCAAGTTTAACCCGTTTTTCCAATCATGTTCCTTACAGAAAAAGAATCCAGTCTAGGGTCACTGGTTGCATTTAGTTGTCATAGCCCTTGAGTCAGCTCCAATCGTGAAAAGTCCCTCAGTCTGTTCTTGACCTACAGGACCTAGTCATTTAAAGATCACAGGTTAGTCATTTTATAGGATGTCCCTCACTTTGGGTTTGGCTGATAGTTCTTCACAATTAGATTCGTATCATTTGCCTTTTTGACAAAATAACACAGAAGTACTGCTGTGGCTTCTCTCACTGCATCCTGCCAAGGAGCATGTGGTGTTGATTTGTTCCATTACTGGTGATGTTACCTTCGATTACTTGATTAAGATGATGTCTGCCAGATTCCTCCATGTGAAGAAAACTATTTTTTTCCTTCATAGTAAGCATTTTGTGGGGAAAAATTCTGTTCCTCGTCAAATTTTAACATCTAGTTGTAGCACCCACTGATTTCTTGGATGAATTAATCATTAATCTGATGGTTGCCAAACGATGAATTTCTAAGCCTCTTCAAACTTTATTAGTTCTCAATTGTGGAAAAAAAAAAGCTTTTTCCTTTCTCTTTTATTTATTCATTTATTTATACCAGTATGGATTCATGGATTCCAATTTTATTTGGTTATAATGTTGCTATTGTTTTAAAATTAAATCTTTGAGATAATTTTAGATTTGTATGCAGTTGTAAGAAATAATATGGGGAGGTCCTTGTACTCTTTACCCAGTTTCCCCCAGTGGTGGTATCTTGCAAAACCAGAGTATAACATCACAGCTGGATATTGACATTGATACAAGTAAGGTACCGAACAGTTCCACCAGCACAAAGCAACCACCAATCTCTTCTCATTTTTTGAAATACATTTTTAACTATTTTTTCATGCTGAAACTCCTAAAGATTTCTATATAACAACAGTTTCAAAGGTTTGGTGCTTATTCCCTCGAGGTATATAATGTATGAGTGTGTGTGTGTATAACCTGCACGGAAAGGGAACTTTGTGATTATAAAAGCTACGCAAACTTAAAACTATTTCAAGGAATACAGAAATGAGTAAAGTAAAAAGCGAGAATCTCTTCTGTAGGATGGAAGCTAGACCACAGAAATTTGTTGAGCACATTGCCTGATAAACACAGACTTTTACAAAGTGATTTTCCACTGTGTTTTGTGAAACTCTCAATGTCATCTCATTGGCATCAGGGGAGCCAGGCTCCAGTTTTGCTATTTGTTTTGCATCTTTTCTCTTAACTTGCATCTTTCTTTCAGGAAAGGAATCTTATTTAAACTTGTGGCCTCCACCTCACATAGCACAGTGCTCAGTAATGCTTAATATTTGCTTATTTAAATGAAAGAAAATGTATGAGCCACAAGCAAAGGCATTCTTGTCCAAGCAATGCTCCTTAGTTCCGCAACCCTGATAAAAGTTTCCCTTTATGTTTAAGAATATTGCAGTTGAAGTTAAGGAGGAACAAGGAAAAACCAAGGACCAAGCCTTTGAATGATACATTGTATCAATATTTTTACTTCCTGAGTGTGTCTTCTTTAACTTGCTTTGATTTTTAATGTTACTGTGTGTTGAATCTGTGATGTTATCTACAACTTACAGAAGACATCCATATAATTTGTATTTTGATCTTTGCAATGACTTTGTTACCCATGAGGAAGCTGTGTCTCAGAGGAAAAATTGGGGGCCTGATGTTTGTTGTCTACAGAATTTTTTGAACATAACACTTGTTCTTTATATTGTAATTCATCATTCTTCCTATGTACAAATTATGTCTTGGCTCTCCAGACAAATTATGGATTCCTTGAGAAGTCTGATGCATTACATTTAAAAATTTTTTTAAAGAACCTAGTATAGTAAAAGTCATAGGTAACATGAGGCCGTGACCAGATGCATGAATTGTTCTGTGGGATTTATATTGTTGTAAGTGTGCCTGGATCCCCAGCTAGATTATACATTCTTTGAGAATAAGATGATCTTATTCTTTCCACCTCCTTTGAATGATCCAAATGACTGGAACCAAACTAAAATATGGTGCCATTTACTAAATGGTTCTTGACTGAGACCGTAATGAGGTGTTGTCACTGTTATTTCTGTCACTTATTCTTTAATTTATTCATCCACAAGGACTTTCTTTGAGAGCCCTCTTTATAGTAGGCCCTTAGGATACTGCCGTGAAGGAGGTAGGCAAGATCTTTAGTTAAGAGTGAGGGAGAAAATGGGGAGAAATAAGTAAGTTAAAAGTAAAATTACAGGTTGTATAAAGAGTGATGAAGGAAATTATGACATGACATAGAAATTAAAGGAAAATAAAGGGGATAGAGAAGGCGGGGAGATGAACTACCTTTGAAAGGAGAGTCTAGAAAAGCTCTTTGGGGATGGAATTGTCCTCTCAAAGCACTCACGTTGAGCCTGAATAGCACGAAGGTGTGGCTCTGTCAAGCTCTTGAACTTGCACCCACTCTGGTAACCAGCCCACAATAAAACAGCCCTTTAGAGAAATGGGCGCAAATCTAGCAGAGGTAGCTAGGAATTCCAAGTCAGATGTGTAAATGTGTGGCCAGAGAATGCATGCATTTTGGAAAGAAGGACAACATAGACTGTGAGAAGGAGGCTCAAAAGGCAGTGGGCATGATGTCTGGAGTGATTTTGAAAGTCATTTTACCCTGAGAAATACGGGAAATGAGTTAAAGGATTTATGTCAACGAGTGACACAGTCTGATTTATGCTGCAGACTAAATCAAAGAGAAGGAAGCATGGAGGCAAAAGACAAGATCAGAGGTTGTCACATGAACGTAGATGAACGATGAAGGTGGTAATTGAGGTGTCGAGAAGGAGATGGATGGATTTGAGAGGTGTTTGGGAACCAGTAATTTTGATCATATGCAGGTTATGACCTTGGCCACTGGGCACTTGGGGGTGTGATATGATGAGGTTAAGAGACAGAGGATGAGGAGCAAATTTACAGGAAGAAGATACTGAGCACATTCTGAAATATCTATGAACCATCTGAGGAGAATTTTGCAGTAGGGCAGTGGCTCTGTGATGCATGAATCTCAGGGTG